CTCTCTCTCTCTCTCTTCAGCCTTTAAATAAATGGAAATCTTAGGCTGGGCACAGTGGCTCACGCCTGTAATCCCAGCACTTTGGGAGGCTGAGGTCGGTGGATCACTTGAGGTCAGGAGTTCAATAGTAGCCTGGCCAATGTAGTGAAACCTTGTCTTTAATAAAAATGGAAAAAATTGACTGGGCACGGTGGCTCATGCCAGTAATCCCAGCACTTTGGGAGGCTGAGGCGGGCAGATCACCTGAGGTCAGGAGTTCAAGAACAGCCTGACCAATATGGTGAAACCCCATCTCTACTAAAAATACAAAAATTAGCCAGACATGGTGGCAGATGTCTCTTGAACCCGGGAGGCAGAGGTTGCAGTGACCTGAGATTGTGCCATTGCACTCCAGCCTGGGCAACAGAGCAAGACTCTGTCTCAAAAAAAAAAAAAAAAAAAAAAAAAAGTAGATCCTGAGAGTATAAATCCCTGGAATTAGCAAACATTTATGGGAAATTTTTGGACGCTGGACTTTCTGGATGATAGATTAATGAAGTTAAAGTCTAGCTCTCTAAGAGTGATGCTAGACCTATATGAAATCTGAGTTACATGTGGAATAGATAAAGTTGTACTAAGGGATTTTTAAAATTTTTAATTATTTATTTATTTGAGACAAGAGTGTCACTCTGTTGCACAAGCTGGAGTGCAGAGGAGCAATCTCAGTTCACTGCAACCTCTGCCTGCCAAGTTTAAGCGATTCCCCTTCCTCAGCCTCCTGAGTAGCTGGGACTACGGGTGGGAGCCACCACACCCAGCTAATTTTTGTATTTTTAGTAGAGATGAAGTTTCACCATATTGGCTGGTCTCAAACTCCCAACCTCAAGTGATCTGCACACCTTTAGCCTCCGAAAGTGCTGGGATTACAGGTGTGAGCCACCGCGCCTGGCCCAAAGGATACGTTTTATATGATGAGGGGATGGAAGTGGAATAGTTGGAGGCTGAGGGAAGAGTGGAAGGACCGTGTCCAAGTGGCTGACACCTGTAATCCCTGCACTTTAGGAGACAGAGGCAGAAGGATCCCTTGAACCCAGGTGTTTGAGACCAGGCTAAGCAACCTAGTGGAACCCTATCTCTACAAAAATAAAAAATAAATAAAAATTAACCCAGTGTGGTGGAGCGTGCCTCTGGTCTTAACTACTGGGAGTCTGAAGTGGGAAGATCACCTGAGCCCGGGATGTCAAGACTGTGGGAATCACACCACTGCACTGCAGCCTGGGTGACAGAAAAGGATTCCATCTAAAGAAAAAGAAAAAAAGAAGCTAGAAGATATGTGTGTGTGTATATATATACATACATACATATATATATATATATTTTTTTTGAGATGGAATTTCACTCTTGTTGTCTAGGCTGGAGTGGAATGGCATAATCTCGACTCACTGCAACATCTGCCTCCTGGGTTCAAGCGATTCTCCTGCCTCAGCTTCCCAAGTAGGTGAGATTACAGGTATGTGCCACCATACTGGGCTAATTTTGTATTTTTAGTAGAGATGGGTTTTCTCCATTTTGATCAGGCTAGTCTTGAACTCCCAGCCTCAGGTGATCTGCCTGCCTAGGCTTCCCAAAGTGCTGGGATTACACAGGGTGAGCCACAGCACCTGACAGTATTTTCTAAAGTTTAAAAAAACTACAGTGGGCTGGGTATGGTGGTTCGCACCTATAAATCCCAGCCCTTTGGGAGGCTGAGGTGGGCAGGTAGCTTGAGTCCTGCAGTTTGAAACCAGCGTGGGCAACATAGTAAGACCCCGTCTCTATAAAAAAATTAAAAATTAGCTGGGCGTGGTGGTGTGTACCTGTAGTCCCAGCTACTCGGCAGGCTGTGGTGGGAGGATCACTTGAGCCTGGAGGTGTTCAGGCTGCAGTGAGCCCTGATCACGCCACAGCATTCTAGCCTGGGCAACAGAGTAAAACCCTGTCTCAAAAGAAAAAGAAAAAACAACAGTGAAGGGATTGGGTTGGTTTCAGATGTTTGCTGGGGCTGGCTAGACTGGATGGTGGGAGGAGGGGCAGGGCTCTCCTTCGCCTTGTCATCTCTTCCCCGCCCTAAAGAACCTTTGTGGTGTTCTGTCACTCTGTGATGTAGACCCGGAACTCTGGTCTGAGATGCCCTCTGTGTCCAGTATCTCCAGGCAGCAGTGCCAACAGCAGTGCACTTCAAATAATAGAGCCGTTTCTTTGTTTTAGGGCACTCTGTGGCTCTGGCTGAACTCAAACTGGACTCCACGTGGCATGGAATCCACTTGCTACCTCTTTTGTGGGCTGGAGCTCCTCTTCTTGTTTTTCTACCATCTAGTGAGGAATCCATTTTTTTTTTTTTGAGACAGAGGTTCGCTCTTGTTACCCAGGCTGGAGTGCAATGGCGCCATCTCGGCTCACCGCAACCTCCGCCTCCTGGGCTCAGGCAATTCTCTTGCCTCAGCCTCCTGAGGAGCTGGGATTACAGGCATGCGCCACCATGCCCAGCTAATTTTTTGTAGTTTTAGTAGAGACAGGGTTTCACTATGTTGACCAGGATGGTCTCGATCTCTTGACCTCGTGATCCACTCGCCTCAGCCTCCCAAAGTGCTGGGATTACAGGCTTGAGCCACTGCGCCCGGCGTGAGGAATCCATTTTTATCAATATTTGAGTAAATTAGAGACCAAAGTCAAATAAGAGATCACTAGATCCCATTAACAACATAAACTGACATTTGGCCATTTGTCTTCTTTGTTACATCAATAATATCAGTGCAAAGAGACACCTGAGATCAGTCTCCTTAGAGAATATCATCCTTCTAGAGATGCAGATTTGGCTGGGGTCAGAGTGATATACAGAGTTTTTGTTTTGTTTTGTTTTTGATACAGAGTCTTGCTCTGTCACCCAGGCTGGAGTGCAGTGGTACCACCTCGGCTCACTGCAACCTCTGCCTCCCAGGTTCAAGTGATTCTCTTGCCTCAGCCTCCTGAGTAGATGGGACCACAAGTGGGCGCCACCACGCCCAACTAATTTTTGTATTTTTGGTAGAGACGGGGTTTCACCATGTTGGTCAGGCTGGTCTCAAACTCCTGACTTCGTAATCTGCCCACCTCAGCCTCCTACAGTGCTGGGATTACAGGCGTGAGCCACCCGGCCTCCAACCTCTTTTACCAGCAAGGTCTTTATGACCGCTATGTCATGTGGACCTCGTGTCTCATCCTGTGACTAAAAATGAGAGGTCCTCCTTAACCTCCTGGGAATGCAGCTAGGTGAGTAGGTCAGGTCTCACTCAGTCTTATTTTACCCAGCCCTTATTCAAGGAGGAGTTGCTCTGGTTCACATACCTCTTATTCAACTGTCTTGGTAATTTTTTTCTTTTTTTTTTGAGACAGTTTTGCTCTGTAGTTCAGACTGCAGTGGCACCATCTTGGGTCACTTCAATCTCTGTCTCCCGGGTTCAAGTAATTCTCTTGCCTCTGCCTCCCAAGTAGCTGGGATTGCAGGTGCACACCACCATGCCTGGCTTATTTTGTATTTTCAGTAGACATAGGGTTTCACCATGTTGGCCAGGGTGGTCTCAAACTCCTGCGCTCAAGTGATCCACCCGCCTCGATCTCGCAAAGTGCTGGGATTACGGGCCTGAGCCACTGCTTCTAGCCAAATTTCCCCTTAACAGGACATCAGCCAGATTGCCTCAGAGCCCACTGTAAAAAGCTTAGTTTAACTTAATAACCTCTAAATACCCTATGTCAAAACACAGTCATATTCTGAGGTGCTGGATGTTAGAACTTAAAGACAATGAGTTTTTTTAGGGACATTATTCAGCTCATAACATTCTGTACTCTGGACTCCCAAAATCAATGTCCTTCTGATTTGCAAGATCCCTTCACCCCCATCCTAACATCTCAAAAGTCTTATTATTATTATTTTTTGAAACAGGGTCTCTGTTGCCCAGGGAGCAGTGTAGTGGTGCAATGACGATTCATTGCAGCCTTGATCCCCTGGGCTCAAGAGATCCTCCCCAGCCTCCCAAGTAGATGTAACTGTAGGTATTAGTCTCCATGCCTGGTTAATTTTTCTATTTTTCATAGAGACAGGGGTTTCCCTTTGTTGCCCCAGGTTGGTCTTGAACTCTTGAGCTCAAGCAATCTTCCCACCTTGGCCTCCCAAAGTGCTGGGATTACAAGCCAGAGCCACTGCCCCTGGTCTATTTCAAAAGTCTTAAACCATTTCAGTATCAAACTCTAAGGCCCAAATATCACCGAGAGATTATCTGAATCACATATGGGTGAGATTCAAGTGTGATTCATCCTGACGCATAATTTCTGTCCAGCTGTGAAACTGTGAAGCCAAAGAAAAGCCAAAGAAGTTATTTGCTTCCAAAACACAATGGTGGGACAGGTATAAGATAGACCCTCAGCCCTGGGAACCACCCTGCTACTCTGTTACTGTGATTTTGACGTTTGTAGATTACACATGTAAGTAAGCTCATGCAGCATTTGTCTTTCTGTGTCTGGCACATTTCCGTTGGCATAATGTCGTCCAGGTTCCTGGATCCAGCCACGGCCCCACATCAACTCTTCAGAGATTCTATTTCCCTGACTACTGAGTTGATTCAGCCTCACTGACAAGACCGGATAGAGTCCACCAGGCTCGCAAAAAAATCGGCTTTGACTTAAATCAGTTCAACTTGACAAGAAGAAAACATCTTAGTTTGCAGTATAAGTGGACCACAACTTTAAGCTTTAACTTTAAATTCTGAAATATTAACTTAAAATAGGTAGGAACGCTGGCTGCTTGACAGGACAATAGTCGCAAATATTCCCAAATCAGGAGAACAAAGACTGGGTGGAAGGCAGAGTGACCAACAGGCCACGCCCACCAAACAGGCTCCGCCCACCCTGTCCAGTCCGCTGAGCACAGCGGCTCCGCCCACCACCGCATCGGCCCCGCCCACCACCGCATCGGCCTCGCCCCATCCTTTCGGAGTCCCCAAGTCAGTCCGTCTTTCCTCCCCGTCGCACCCCGCCCAAGCCCCGACCCAGGCCTCTCAGTCTTTTTTCTCAGCGCGTGCAGCTTCCTGCACACCCGGAAGCAGATCGCGCAGGGAAACGATCACAGCGCCGCGCGTCAGTTTCCGTCCACCTGGACTAAACGTTTGCTTCGCCCAGTCTACCTGACTTGGTGCACTTGGCAGTCTTCCTTTGTCCATACCCGTTTCCCCGGGATCGCTACGGACCTTGAAATACCAGCAACAGCCCCTTCGCCCCAAGTAAGTCTGATACTTGCCTCCGTTTCGGTTTAAAATCTCTCGGGCTGTTCCTTGCTCCCTGCCTTTCTGCATGAGGACCATGTAGACAGCCGCACTCAGGTCGTGTTCCTGCTTAAAACCCTTACTGACCTCTGCTTGGACCCCGCCCCAAGTCGAGTCCTCACTCGAGAGGTGGATTCCCGCCCTTCGCGACCCCTGAGCTTCTCCCTTGCCGGCCCCTGGAGGGCAGCGCCCGCCGCCCGGCTCCTGAAGGAGCCCCTTCTCTTCTCGGGTCCTGGGATTCCGCACACTCTCCCTGTAATCCCCCTTCACGCCGGGTCCTTCTGCTCCCCAGGCTTCCCCTTCACAGCCACTGCTTTCCCTGACCCCGCGTTGGGGGAAGACCTGAGTCTGTCTTGTGACACCCAGTGTTCTTCCTTCCCAAATTTTACTCCACTGGAAGATGCTTTCCTGGGAGGTAGGCGTCTTATTCCTCCCCTTTCCTCCTGAAATGTGTGGGTGAGAGGGATCGGGAGAGGAAAAGATGGGGAGCGACGGAGAAAAAGGAAGAATCGAGGAGAAAAGAATGAGGGAGACCCATAAATACACCGCAGAATGGATGATAATTTTGGGATTTGCAGAGACAGCAAGACTGAAAGAGAATGGATGGAGAAAGCAGCAGGGGGAGAAAGCAAATAGGGAAATCAGAGGGGCGGCAAAGGAGGAGGCACTGCAGACAGACACGGGGCAGAAGGTGAAATGGTTGGAGCCGTGGCTGACAGAGCCACGTGGTGCTGCGACTGACAGAGAGGGCAGTGGGTGACAAGCAGAGTAGAGAGAGAACCACAGCAGGGAGGAAGCCTAGGAAGTGGGGGGTGCTAGAGAGTGGGGACAAAGGAGATGTAACAGGGAAGAGGGAATTTAACGGGGAGAGCAGAGAGGGGGCGCATATTGGGGGAAAGAGGCAGAAATACCTGGAGACTGGGACAATCGGAGGAAATATTAGGGAGAAAGAGCTACAAGAGGTGAAGTAAGTTGCAAAGCATTGGGCAGAACAGACATAAAAGAGGAAATAAAGGAAGGGGAGAAAAACAGAAAAGGGGGGAAAGGTGCAGAATGAGAGAGGGAAACATGGTCGTGAAGAAAGTGGGCGAGGACCCCATCCAGATGAGCGGTGAGTTGACTGGATATGGATGGTGGCTGTGATACTCTTTTTTTTTTTTTTTTTTTGAGACAGAGTTTCGCTCTTGTTACGCAGGCTGGAGTGCAATGGCGCCATCTCGGCTCACTGCAACCTCCGCCTTCTGGGTTCAGGCAATTCTCCTGCCTCAGCCTCCTGAGTAGCTGGGATTACAGGCACGCGCCACCATGCCCAGCTAATTTTTTTGTATTTTTAGTAGAGACGGGGTTTCACCATGTTGACCAGGATGGTCTCGATCTCCTGACCTCATGATCCACCCGCCTCAGCCTCCCAAAGTGCTGGGATTACAGGCTTGAGCCACCGCGCCCGGCGGTGATACTCTTAATTTGTGGCTTTATACTCTAAACTTTGTTTCTTTAAATTGTACTCATGAGGATGAAAATTACCGCTCTTTTCTGTAAGTCTTGTGCATTTTGTATTTATTTGTATCAAAAGATATTTGGAATCCCTATTTAGCCAGAGGGCATCTAAATTCAGTCATTTGTGGTAACTTCTTCCGAGGGATGGGATAGACTCGGATAGAGTAGGCGAGAAATGCAGCAAGAAATGACTGACTGTCACTCTCACCACAAGGTATGTCTGTTGTTCTTTCTTTTCTTTTTCTTGGAAGAAAATCACTTTATTCTAATTAACTCACAACGAATAAAATCATAGCAGCTAGTTTAAGGAGGCCACACAAACATTTACCCAGCCCCAAATTTTACAGAGTAGGAACACCTTCCATTTAAATTCTGAAGCAAGGAAGCTAGGGATGACCCGAGAGGCTTAACTGGTGGTTACACTTTATACGTATACTTCAGTGATATCCAATATTTTTGTACTAAATTAACTTGGTTATGAGAGCTGGTTTTTCATTTCCCTAGTTTGAACTCCTTAATTAGGCCAATCTGTTTTTGCAAGTCAGCACTGTTTAAACACCTCACTGAAACCCTCGCAGAGCTTGATGTCACCCTGGTTCTGGGCACACTCCAAAAACTGATCTCATAGAAGCAAGGCTGCTGCTGCTGTGCCGGCTGGGTTCCCTGAGCCTCCTGCTAAGTGATGTCAGGCCTCGCAGGTTCAGCATTACTTCCTCCACTGAAGCCCCCAGTAATGGCGTGGCCCAGTGCGTGTTCCGCAGCAGGGCCCACAGCCACCCTGGCTGAGGTGGTTGCCATCTGGGCCAGCAGACCTCACTGCCCGGGCGCAGCAGCAGGATAGCCAACTGCAGATGGGCGAGGGCGGAGGGGGGGCGCTGCTGGTGGCTGAGCCGCTGGTGCTGGCCTGGGTGCAGTTCTCATCTGAGGGGCCCAGCCGGCCAGCGGGGCCATGTGGGAGGTGCGGCTTCAGCTTCCACGCGGCATCCTAGGTACCCAGCAGCTCCGCCTTTGGACATGCGACAACCAGCGAAGAGCACAGCGGTTTCTGAGAACTACATTTTTTTTTTTTCTTTTTCGAGACAGGGTCTTGCTGTGTCAGACTAGAGTACAGTATCATGATCTCCACTCACTGCAGCCTCAACCTCCTGGACTCAAGCAGTCCTTCTGCCTCAGCCTTTGAAGGTGCTGAGATTACAGACGTGAGCCACCACGCCAGGCCTACAAGGTACAGTATGTCTTTGAAGGAGCATTGAGAGTCTTTAGTTTTTTTGTATAATGGATTTGCTTTTTTCTTCGTAGTTCCTTTACATTTAATTTATTGTTATTTTGGAAATTTGAGATAAATATTAGTTTATTCAATTTCTGCCTTTCAATAAATAATTACTAACTTCTGAAATAAGATTTGGTGGCATCATCTAATCAGCTGACATCATTTGTTTCTAAATATTGTTTTAAACTCTCATCCTACAATTCATTAATTTTCTTTTTTTTTGAGATGGAGTTTTGGTCTTTTTGCGCAGGCTGGAGTGCAGTGGGGTGATCTCGGCTCACTGCAACCTCCGCCTCCTGGGTTCAAGTGATTTTCCTGCCTCAGACTCCCAAGTAGCTGGGATTACAGGCATGCGCCACCATGCATGGATAATTTTGTATCTTTAGTAGGTTTCTCCATGTTGGTCAAGCTGGTCTCAAACTCCTGACCTCAGGTGATTCCCCTGCCTTGGCCTCCCAAAGTGCTGGGATTACAGGCATGAGCCACCACACCCGGCAATTCCTTAAATTTTTCAGAAACTTTCCAAATTGTTTAAGTGTGCAATACAGTATAGTCACCATGGTGTATGTTAGATTCCCCAGAACTTCTTCATTTTATAACTGAAAGTTTGTACCCTTTGACCAACATTTTTCCATTCTCCCCACCACCAGCCCCTGGCAACAACTGCTCTACCCTGTTCCTATGAATTGGACTCTTTAAGATGCTGCTTATGAGATCATAGAGTAATTGTCTTTAGTGTCTGTCCTATTTCTCTTAGCATAATGTCTGCAACCTCCACCTCCCAGATTCAGAAATTCTCCTGCCTCAGCCTCCCCAGTAGCTGGGATTATAAGGGTGCACCACTACGCCCGGCTAATTTTTTGTATTTTTAGAGACAGAGTTTCACCATGTTGACCAGGCTGGCCTTGAACTCCTGACTTCAGAGGATCTGCCTGCCTTGGCCTTCCAGAGTTCTGGGATTACAGGCATGAACTACTGCGCCTGGCCTCATACTATTATGATTGCTTTAGCTTCATAGTATAGCTGAAAATCAGAGAATATGATTCCTCCAGCTTGTTCTTTCTCAAGAGTGCTTTGGCTTTTTGGATTTTTTTTGGTATGTCAATGTTTCAGGATTTTTTCCCCCCTATATCTATGAAAAATGGCATTAAAGTGTGATAGGGATTGCACTGAATTTGTAGGCCACTTTTGGTAATAGCGACATCAAAAATAATTGACACTATTCTTTCAATCCATGAACATGAGATAGCTTTTCATTTATTTATGTGTTCTTCAATTTTTTCTTTTTTTTTTTTTTTGAGACAGCCTCACCCTGTCACCTAGACTGGAGTGCTGGCATGCAGTGGTAATATCATACTCCAGTGCAGGGTTGGACTCCTGGGCTCAAGCAATCTTCCTGCCTCAGCCTTCTGGGTACCTTAATATTATGGGTATGCTAATTTCAATTATTATTATGATTATTATTTGGTAGAAACTGAGTCTCACAGGCTGATCTCAAACACCTGGCCTCAAGCGACCCTCTCACCTCAGCCTTCCGAAGCACTGAGATTACAGGCATGAGCCACTGTGCCTGGCCTCTTCAGTTTCTTTCATCACTATCTTACAGCTTTCAGTGTACAGATCTTTTACTTAATTGGTTGTATCTATTCCTAAGTATTTTATTCCTTTTGATGCTACTGCAAGTGGGACTGTTTTGTTAATTTCTTTTTTTCTGATAGTTTTGTCTTTAGTTTATAGAAAATTTGGGGCCCCTCTTGCTCTGTGCATCCTCACTGAACTCAATCCAGCCAATGCCCTGCTGCCTCTAAACTAGACTCCATGTCGTCACCACTTGCCAGGGCCAACTTTGATATCTTCAATATTGAAGGCGCAGGTTCCTTCAGTTTGCAGTTTGTATACGTTCCTGCTGTGGTGCACATGCCCAGAGTCCCAGTACCCTTTAGTCCAGTTTGTTCATGCATGCATGGAGGAGAGGTAGAATAATGAGGAAAAGTGGAAGGAAAGTAGGAGGGCTCCAGGAAGCAAGGGTGGGCCTCTAGATGAACCAGGGAATGGCATATGTCCCTGTCCCCGGTGTGGTTATATGAGCAATGGGTATGTGGAACTCTTGGAAAGAAATGTCTCAGGTCTGGCAGGAGCAATTGGAAGTGGGATTATAAGTGGATGTGAGGGTGCATGGGGTGCACGGATCATTATGGAATGCTACGGTTTCTTAGCTCAGGTTCGATGGGACGCAGACACTAAGACAGATTTGCATGCAGGGATTCCATTGGGAAACCCCTGAGGAGGACTGAAGTTAGTGGATTTAGGAAACGTTATTCTGCAGTGTAAAGTTGACGCTTGAAAAATGTGGGCGTTCAGGGTGCCAACACACAGTCAAAAACGAAGGTATAACTTTAGGATTAGACTCCCCAAAGCTTAACCACTAATAGCCTACTGTTAACCTGAAGCCATACTGATAACAGTATATTAAAACATTTTGCATGTTATGTGTATCATATGCTGTAATCTTAAAGTATGCTAGAGCAAAGAAAATATCAAGAAAATCATGGCCAAGCATGGTGACTCACACCTGTAATCCCAGGACTTGGAGAGGTCAAGGTGGACGGATCCATTGGAGGCCAGAACTCTGAGACCAGCTTGGTCAACATAATGAGACCTTGCCTCTACAAAAAAAAAAAAAAAAAAAAAAACAAAACACCCCAAAACAAAAAACAATTAGGCATGGTACTGCATGTCTGTAGTGCTAGCAACCTGGGAGGCTGAGGCTAGAGGACTGCTTTGTATGAGCCAAGGATATTGGGGCTGCAGTGAGATGTGATTGTGCTGCACACCAGGCTGGCTGAGAGAGTGAGATCTTATGTCTCAAAAAAAAAAAAAAAAAAAAAAAAAAGAGGGAAAGAAAATCATGAGGAACATAAAATACCTGTGCTGTGCATGAAATGGAAGTGGATCATCAGATGTCTTCATTGTGATCATCTTCACATTGAGTAGACTGAGCAGGAAGAGGAAGAGAGGCTGGGCTTGCTGTCTCGGGGTGGAAGATGTGGAAGAGATGGAGAACAGGGAAGGAGACGGAGGAGTTGGGGGCATACTCAGTGAAACTTTAAGGAAATACATCATAATTCGTGTCTGACATTTTTGCTATTTCATTTCCCTAAAAATGTTTCTATGTGGCACCAGTCCTTCCACTGTTTGCCTTAATTTCAGTGCCCAGATTATAGAAGGGCACTGAAGTTATTATCCCGAATAATTGAAACTCTTCTCCCAGATTGTCTAATTTCAGTTTGTCTCCTGGCATGTCCGTGTCTTCTTTCTCTTCTGGTACTGCTTCAAAAGCAGTCATTTCTGTTAGGTAGTCTTCTAGTAATTCCTCCAGTGTGGTGTCTTTTAGCTCTTGAATTTCTCCAAGATCCACATCTTGAATCCTCCACCCCCGCCTTTTTGTGTGTGCCATAGCCACAAACTCTTTCATGATTTCTTTGATTGGCTCTGTCTAAATCATGTGAAGTCTTGGACAACATCTGGACCCACTTTTCTCCAAAAAAAATACATGTTTTGGGCTGGGTGCGATGGCTCACGCCTGTATTTCCAGCACTCTGGAAGGCTGAGGCAGGTGGATCACAAGGTCAAGAATTCGAGACCAGCTTGGACAACATGGTGAAACCCTGGTCTGTACTAAAAACACAAAAGTTAGCTGGGCGTGGTGGCGTGTGCCTATAATTCCAGCTACATGGGAGGCTGAGGCAGGAGAACGGCTTGAACCCAGGAGGTGGAGGTTATAGTGAGCCGAGATCCTGCCACTGCACTCCAGCCTGGGTGATAGAGCAAGACTCGATCTTGTGGAGGGAGCGTATATATTGTTTTGAGCTTGATGGTTTTCAGAGCTTTTTTTGTTGATAGCAATGATGAGGTCTTCAACGGTGTGGTCCTTGCAGAGTTGTATCATGTTCTCTGTATTGGGGCTCTAAACTTTCATAGCGCTGACAATCCTTTCCATAGTGTAGTGAGCTGTAAAGGTCCTTACGGCCCACCGATTAGAAGCTTTGTATTTGGAGGTAAGCAAACCCTTGGAACACCTGCTGAGTTGAGCTCATGGGTGGCCAGGGGCATTGTCCAACATGAAGGAACTTTAAAAGGCAGTCTGGGCCGGGTGCGGTGGCTCAAGCCTGTAATCCCAGCACTTTGGGAGGCCGAGGCGGGTGGATCACGAGGTCAAGAGATCGAGACCATCCTGGTCAACATGGTGAAACCCCGTCTCTACTAAAAATACAAAAAATTAGCTGGGCGTGGTGGCGTGTGCCTGTAATCCCAGCTACTCAGGAGGCTGAGGCAGGAGAATTGCCTGACCCCAGGAGGCGGAGGTTGCGGTGAGCCGAGATCGCGCCATTGCACTCCAGCCTGGGCAAGAAGAGCGAAACTCCGTTTCAAAAAAAAAAAAAAAAAAAAAAAAAGGCAGTCTGTTACTTGCAGAGTACTTCCTGATTTAAGGGACAAAGCACTGGTGGAAACAATCCAGAACAAGAATTCTCATGGCTCAGGCCATCTTGTAGAGCCAAAAGACTGGCAACTGATATTTGTCTTTTCTCTTCAAGGCCCCGGGGTTAGCAGCTTCATAGATAAGGGCAGCCCTGATCATAATCCCAAGTGTATTTGCATAAAACAGTAGAATTTGCCTATCACCTCCTGCATTAAGTCCTGGTGTTCATTTCTCTTTCTTATTAATAATTTTTTTATTTTTATTTTTTGAGACGGAGTCTGGCTGTGCCGCCCAGACTAGAGTACAGTGGCGTTATCTCAGCTCACTGCAACCTCCACCTCCCAGGTTCAAGCCATTCTCCTGCCTCAGCATCTTTAGTAGCTGGAATTACAGGCACGTGCCACCATGCCCGGCTAATTTTTTTTGTATTTTTAGTAGAGATGGGGTTTCACTGTGTTAGCCAGAATGGTCTTGATCTCCTGACTTCGTGATCCGCTTGCCTCAGCCTCCCAAAGTGCTAGGATTACAGGCGTGAGCCACCGCGCCTGGCCCAATTAATAAATATTCTTGGTGGCTTGGTCTAGTAGTATGGGAGGCTAGTCCAGAACAATGGCCCTCCCATAAAAAAGAACCAGGTCAGCCCAGCGTGGTGGTAGGCACCTGTAATCCCAGGTCGTTGGGAGGCTGAGGCAGGAGGATCTCTTGAATCTGGGAGGCGGAGGTTGCAGTGAGCTGAGATCATGCCCTGTACTCCAGCCTGCTAGTCTTGCCCACTTTGAGAGTTATGCAACCCTGGCTCCACATTAGAGTGCCAAGGCATTTTGCAAACATATGGTTTATGTCCCCTTACCAGAGATTCACCTTCCAGTAGGGTGGGGCCCAGCCCCCATAATGTTTAAGGTACTCAACTTGATTATAGTTTTTGTTTTTTTTTTTTTTGAGATGGAGTCTCACTCTTGCCAGGCTGGAGTACAGTGGTGCAATTTCAGCTCACTGCAGCCTCCGCCTCCTCGGTTCAAGTGATTCTCCTGCCTCAACTTCCTGAGTAGCTGGGACTACAGGCATGTGCCACCATGCCCAGCTAATTTTTGTATTTTTCGTAGAGATGGGGTTTCACCATGTTGGCCAGGATGGTCTCAATCTCTTGACCTCATGATCCACCCGCCTCAGCCTCCCAAAGTGCTGGGATTACAGGCATGAGCCACTGCATCTGACCTGATTTTAATTTCTATCCAGCATTGAGAATCAAGGCAGTGTCCTCCATTTCTGAAGGCTGTCATCAGCCTGTGATCCACAGACAGCTGAGGGGCTATGCTCTGCATGGGGCTTGATCAGGACCGGGTCTGTGCCCTGAACCGAAGTCTAGGCCAACCCAGCCCGCAACTGCTGCAGCCTGTACGTGGCCTTCTCCAGGAGCGTAGAAAGTTCTGAAGAAAAGAGTGAAAAACTCGCTTGGTCTTTTTTTTTTTTTTTTTTTTGAGATGGAGTCTTGCATGGTCTGGAGTGCAGTGGTGCAATCTCGACTCACTACAAGCCCCGCCTCCCAGGTGCAAGCGATTCTCGTTGCTTCAGCCTCCCAAGTAGCTGGGACTACAGGTGCCCACCACCATGCTTGGCTAATTATTTTAGTAGAGACGAGGTTTCACTATGCTGACCAGGCTGATCTTGGACTCCTGACATCATGACCCACCCATGTCGGCCTCCCAAAGTGCTGGGATTACAGGCCTGAGGCACCACTCCTAGCCACTTGGTCTTTGTGTAGGAATTTATTATCCTTATCCCCCCATGCAGTGGGCTGTCTCTCCACATGCTGAGGTCTCCCCTGTGTGTGTGGTTGTAGTACAGAAAGGAATGCGTTGTTTCCAAGCATTAAACAACAGATTTTTTACTTTCAGATTTGACTTGTAAAGAGTTAATTATATTGACTGAGAGGGAAGCCCAGAAGAGGAAGAAGAGGAAAGCAAAGGAGTCAGGGATGGCTCTGACACAGGTAAAATGACATTCTTAGTGGATCATTCTGTCTCCTGTTTGAAATGCGAGGCATTGGAGTTGCGAATCTTCTCCGAGTCTGAAGCGTCGTGCCTGATGTGTTTGCTGTCGTTCACTCATGCCTTCCCGCAGTTTCTCTCATCTCACTTAGATTCTTTTTATTTATTTTTTTTATTTTATTTTTATTTTTTTTTTGTATTTTTTTTTTGTATTTTTTTTTTAGTAGAGACAGGGTTTCACCATGTTGACCAGGATGGTCTCAATCTCTTGACCTCGTGATCCACCCGCCTCGGCCTCCCAAAGTGCTGGGATTACAGGCTTGAGCCACTGTGCCCGGCCCCATCTCACTTAGATTCTATCTCACTGTGACCCAGTGACATTAACTTGGAAAGAGACTGCACTGGGCATAGTCCTGGGATGGACTTACACCCAGGGATAGACGGAGACAGGGTGTGGGGCCCCATGGTGTCAGAGCTGTGGGCAGCAGGGATTGTTTAGAGGCAACATCTAGATGCAGTCAGCTGACCAGAAGTAGAGAAGCTGTATGTGGAAGTCACATGTTAATGTGCACAACCTCCGCCTCCTGGGTTCAAGTGATTCTCATGCCTCAGCATCCTGAGTAGTTGCGATTACCGGCGTGCACCACCACACTCGACTAATCTTTGTATTTTTAGTAGCGATGGAGTTTCACCATGTTGGCCAGGCTGGTCTCAAACTCCTGGCCTCAAGTGATCTACTTACCTTGGCCTCAAAATGGTGTTGGGATTACAGGCGTGAGCTGCTGTGCCTGGTGTGTTTTGTCTTTTTTTTGCTTTTTTTTTTGAAGTAGGGTGTCACTCTGTCGCCCAGGCTGGAGTGCAGTGGCGCGATCTCAGCTCACTGCAGAATCTGTCTCCCAGTTTAAGCAATTCTCATGCCTCAGCCTCGCAAGTCCCTGGAACTACAGGCATGAGCCACTATACCTAGCTACTTTTTGTAGTTTTAGTAGAGTCAGGGTTTCACTATGCTGGCTAGGCTTGTCTTGAACTTCTGACCACAGGTGATCAACCCACCCCAGCCTCCGAAAGTGCTGGGATTAAAGCATGAGCCAGTGTGCCTGACCTTCATTGGTTTTTATACAAGACATATCATCATGGCCAGGAGCAGTGGCTCACACCTACAATCCCAGCACTTTGGGAGACCAGGGTGTGTGTATCACTTGAGGCCAGGAGTCTGAGACCAGCCTTGCCAATGTGATGAAACTGTACCTCTACTAAAACTACAAAAAAATTTAGCTGTGTGTAGTGGTACATGCCTGTAGTCCTAGGTACTCAGAAGGCTGAGGTGTGAGAATCGCTTGAACCTGGGAGGCAGAGGTAGCAGTGAGTTGAGATTGTACCACTGCACTGCAGCCTGGGTCACAAAGGGAGACTTTGTCTCAAAAAAAAAAAAAAAAAAAAAAAGACACATCATTTCATAAATAAGCTTATTATTTTTTTACAGTTGAAATTATTTTGCTTTATTTTATCTTTATTTTATTTCATTCATCTACATAAGATACAGACTTGTCAACAGAGTTGAAATTATACCTTAAACGTTTGGCCTTAAACTTTTTCTTGGGTTTTTGTTGTTGTTGTTGTTAACTGTTTTTATATGTCTTTTTCTGTACACAGATTTAATTTTTCAAATTTATTTAAAATTTTTTTCTATATTATGTAAATGGGTTAAATAGTTATAGAGATAGTAATATATTATGTGTGTGCTTAGAGAATGATCTTTTATGCAGTTCTGTGTCATTCTTGAACTTGATTCAAGTTTTCTCAGGCAACCCTTTGCCATTGTACTTTCCATGCTATGCTATGGTTTGAAGATCATATTCTCTCCAATATTCATACAGAAAATTTCCAATGCAGTAGGATTAAGAAGTATGGCCACTGGGAGGTGATTAAGTCACTGGGGCTCTGCCCTAGTTAATGGAATTAGGAACCTTCCTGATTATAAGAGCATTCCAAGTTCAATGGAGTGCACTCTTAGTTTTTTGCCTTCCATGATGTGAGGACACAGCATTCATCCCCCCTCCTGGAAGACTTAGCAACAAGACCCTGTCTTGAAACAAGAAAATGAGGCCCTTAGCAGACAACCAACTTACTGGCACCTTTATCTTGGACATCCTAGTTTGTATAACTGTGACAAAGAAATTTGTTGTTTATAATTACTTAACGTATTTTGTTACAGCAGCACAAACTAATAGAAACTGGTATCAGAAGTAGGGGGTTGTTGTAATAATTAAGTAAAAATGTAATAGACGTAGCTTTGGAAATCGGTAATGGGTACATATTGGCACACTTTTGAACTGAATTCTGGAAAAAGCCTACTTTGCCATTAGCAGAGCATTAAAGGCAATTCTGGTGAGGGCTCAGAAGCAGAGAGCTTTAGAGAATACCTGTTTTGTAGACGATCTAAGTGGTTGTAATCAGAATGTTTTTAGAAATATGGACAATACAGGCAAGTCTGAAGAGGTGTGATGAAAATGGGGAATGTCTTACTGGAAACTAGGAAAGCCCACCTTGGTAACAAAGTAGCAGAGAATTTGTCTGGATTATGTCCATGTCTTAGTACTTTGTGGAAGGAAGAATTTAAGAATGATGAACCAAGATATTTGGCAGAAAAACCCTCAAAGCAAGTTGTTCAGGTTGCTGCATGGCTTTTTAACTGTTTATAGTAAAATGGGAGAAGAGAGAAATTAGTTAAAAACAATTTGTAATCAAAGCCCAATGTAAAGATTTGGAAAATTCTCAGCCTGGCCATATAAAGAATTAAAAGTGTATTTAGGAGAGGGAGAGCTGCAGGCACTGTGAGAACTTCTATGTGGGGTGATCCCAACAAAACCACTAGGGCAGGGATCCCCAGGATGTTGAGACCCAACCCCTACTCCGGGATGTCCAGAAGGTGAGACGTGGAGTCAAAGAAGATTATTGTCAAGCCTTAGTATTTAATGTGTGTCCCCTGTTGGGTTTCAGACTTACATGGGATCAGCTACCCCCTGTTTCCTGTTTCTCCCTTTTGAAATTAAAGTATCTAACCTGTGTCTGCCCCACCATTGTATTTTGGAAGCATGTAACTTGTTTGATTTCATAGGTTCACAGCTGGAGAGCAGTTTGCCTCCGGATGAAATGCACATTTGAGTCTCACCCATATCTTATTTAGATTATAGTTAGATACAACTCTAGACTAAAGGCTTTTTTTTTTTTTTTTTTTGAGACAGAGTTTCGCTCTTGTTACCCAGGCTGTAGTGCAATGGCGCGATCTTGGCTCACCGCAACCTCTGCCTCCTGGGTTCAGGCAATTCTCCTGCCTCAGCCTCCTGAGTAGCTGGGATTACAGGCACATGCCACCATGCCCAGCTAATTTTTTGTATTTTTAGTAGAGACGGGCACCATGTTGACCAGGATGGTCTCGAGCTCTTGACCTCGTGATCCACCCGCCTCGGCCTCCCAAAGTGCTGGGATTACAGGCTTGAGCCACCGCGCCCGGCAACTAAAGGCTTTGAATTGGTTGTAGAAATAGTTATGGCTTTGGGAGCCATTGGGATGGAATGTATTTTGTTTGTGAGAAGTACATCAATTTTGGGGCCAGGGTGGAATGCTATGGTCTGAGTTATTTTTTTTCTTCTTCACAATTCATGTTGAAACTTAATCCCCAATGCCCAATCTGTAAATATTATGAGGTATGGCCTCATAATATGGAGGAGATTGGGTCACAAGGAGTCTGCCCTTATCAGTGGGTTCGGTATTCTTATCAATGAGGTATCAAAAGGCTTGTCCTACAGAGTTCACTGCTTTTTGCCCCTTCTGTCCCTTCTGCCATGTGGGGACACAGCGTTTGTCCCGTATGCAGCAACAAGACCATCTTTAAGCAGGGTCATCTATCAGCAGATATCAGTCCTGCTGGCACCTTGATCTTAGATTTCCCAGACAGCAGAATCAGGAGAAATACATTGCTATTGTTCATAAATTACTCAGTCTGTCTTATTTGGTTATAGCAGCACAGAGGGACTAGGACATACTGTAACCATAATTTAACTGTTTCTTTTCTTTTCTTTTTTAAGATGGGGTTTCACCATGATGGCCAGGCTGGTCTTGAACTCCTGACCTCAGGTGATCCACCCACCTGAGTCTCCCAAAGTGCTAGGATTACAGGCGTGAGCCACCATGCCCGGCTGTTTGTTTCTTTTGATTCAAGACTTATTCTCAGACATTTGGGTTCAGATGCTGGCTCTGCCATTTTCAGGTTGTTGACCTAAGTGACTTTTCAGTGTCTGTGCCAGAGTTGTCTTCTAGTTACACGGAAGCAAATCTCTCTCGTAGGCTATTATGTTGTTATTTTAATTAGAACATGTAAAGCATTTGGAGAAATGCCCAGCACATGGGGAGTGTTCCAAAACTTCAGTCATGCTGTTGCTCTGGTCATCACAGTTTTTAGTTTCTGACCTTTCTTTAAAGCCACTGCAGACATTGTCATCTCAAAGGTAACACTCGTATACTAGCTTCTGGACACTCAGTTGATATATTGAACATAATATCTAACATTTATATAGATAGCGACATGTTCCTTTCTTTGTATATTTCTTATATTGTCCAAAATTTCTTGTATTGTCACAAAAATGAGAAGCATACACTGATTTAGAGGATATAATAATCTCCTATTGAATTTTAAAACAAACTAAAATCAGGGACCCACAACTTTCTCACAGATGCCTTGCATGGATACGTCAAAACACGTACTTCAATCAAATTGATGTGACAGTTCTCTCTTCTTCTCATTTTATGTAAAAATAAGAGCTCTCCCATTGCTGCTTATTGAAATGTGTTTTACATTTCAGGGACCTTTGACATTCAGAGATGTGACCGTAGAGTTCTCTCAGGAGGAGTGGAAATGCCTGGACCCTGCACAGAAAGCTTTGTACAAGGATGTGATGTTGGAGAACTACAGGAACCTGGTCTTCCTGGGTGAGGATAAGTTATCTCTGGGAGTTCGGATCTGCCCTTGTGCTTTTTTGTCTTTTCTCTGTTCTATTTCTTGGGATCCCCTCCGTTATCTGACTGAGACCAAAGCCTTGTTGATTAAAAAATAAAAAGCTTCATAATGCGCATCTGGCCTTTCACTGTCCCCTTTCTATAGATATTCTGCTACTTTTTTTTTTTTTTTTTTTGAGACAGAGTCTCTGTTGCCCAGGATGGAGTACAGTGGTGCCATCTCAGCTCACTGCAACCTCTGCCTCCCGGGTTCACGTTATTCTCGTGCCTCAGCCTCGAACAGCTGGAATTAACAGGTGCATGCCACCATGCCTAACTAATTTTTGTATTTTTAGTGGAGATGGGGTTTCACCATGTTGGCCAAACTGGTCTCAAATTAGGGACCTCAGATGATCTGCCCGCCTCAGCCTCCCAAAATGCTGGGATTATAGGCATGAGCCACCGTGCCTGGCCTATGTTAAGATTTTTTAAAACAAGTTAGTGCTGTTTGCTAGCTTAGAATACTGTGCATTTTATTGTAAAGACTCACAAATATCTTTGTTCCATAAGGTATATCAGCATTGCTTCATGTTTATAGTAGATGGCAGCATATGGGTTTTACCTTAGTGTGGCTAGGTATAGCAGATACCATAGATAGGGTGGTTTAAACAACAGAAATTCACTTTTCACAGAGCTGGGTGATGAGCAGTCCAGATGTCAACACCAGGTTTTTCGTGTAGGCCCTTTTCCTGGTGTACCATGGCTAATTCTTTCTGTGTCCTCACATGGCAGAAGGATTGCCATGCAAAAGCAAAAGCTTTTTCACATCTCCTCTAATTCCATTCCTTAAATTCTACCCACCATGCTGACCTAATTGTCTCCCAAAGTTCACATCTCTAAGTAATATTACACTCAGGATTAGGTCCCCAACATATGAACTTTGGCAGACATAAGTCAATATAGCTGACCTGCAATGCTTGTTAGTGTTGCAGATGTCTGTTTTTCATGGAAATAGATAGTTTTGTTTTGTTTTTTCCAAGATGGAGTCTTGCTCTGTCGCCCAGGCTGGAGTGCCATAGCCCGATCTTGACTCATTGCAACCTCTGCCTCTGGGTTCAAGCAATTCTCCTGGCTCAGCCTCCTGAGTAGCTGGGATTACAGGTGCACACCAGCATGCCCAGCTAATTTTTGTATTTTTAGTAGAGATGGGGTTTCACCATGTTGACCAGGCTGGTCTTGAACTCCTGACCTCATTATCCACCCACCTTGGACTCCCAAAATATTAGGATTACAGGCATGAGCCACCATGCCTGGCCAGAAATAGATAGTTTAACACGTTTAATATGTATGTGATAATATTCAGAAAAATAACTTATTTTTATAACTTCAACATTTTTTCTCATTTTCCCAGTACAATTTTTGATTTATAATTCTAGCTTGCCATTTACATAGATCATTAATTAGTTGAACTTGTTGGTATTTAGCTGTAGTTTGGCATTTATTTGTGCACAATAAACTATGAATATATATACATATAACTTTTCTATTATGAGAGAGCCATATGTTTGCTGCTAGGTGGTGTATGATTTAGGGTCATGTTGGAAAAATACTTGCTTCAGTGCTAATATATGTTTGCACAACATTAGTCTTTTGGTCATTGAATGTTTGAAACTAGGCTTCCTTAAAATTCATTTGAATTACATGTGATTACTCTTTCTTTACTAAATAATTCTACTCCTTTTTTATTTGTAAAAATAGAAGATCACTGTGGTAAAGTTTGGTAATTGTCTAGTATAAATGTTACTTTTAGCACAGTATATTTTCAATATAAAATATTTACAAATAGTAGTTATTTAAAAACAAAACAAAACAAAACAAATGATACTAGTTATTTTTAAAATCCATGTTTGGCTGGGCCTGGTGGCTAACATGTGTAATCCCAGAATTCTGGGAGGCCAAGGCAGGGGATCACAAGGTCAGGAGTTCAAGACCAGCCTGGCCAATATGGTGAAACCCCATCTCTACCAAAAATATAAAAAAATTAGCCATGCATGGTGGCATGTGCCTGTAGTCCCAACCACTCAGGAGGCTGATGCAGAAGAATCACTTGAACCCAGATTGCAGAGGTTGCAGTGAGCTGAGATCATGCTACTGCACTCCAGCCTGGGCAACAGAGCAAGACTTTGTCTCAAAAATCAATCAAACAAACAACAACAAATACCCATGTTCATTATATTTTGTAGGTATCATTCCTAAATGTACGACCAAGGAATTACCACCAATAGGGAACAGTAATACAAGAGAAAAATTCCGAACAATGACGCTGGAAAGACATGAATGCTATGACATTGAAGATATTTACCTAAGGGAAATCCAGAAAAATCTACTGGACCTTGAATTTCAGTGGAAACATGGTGAAATAAATTTTAAAGAAGTGCCAATGACCTATAAAAACAATCTTACTGGTAAAAGAGGTCAACATAGTCCAGAGAATGTAGAAAACAAATGTATTGAAAATCAGCTTACATTAAGCTTTCAGTCACATCTGACTGAACTGCAGAAATTTCAAACTGAAGGGAAAATTTATCAATGTAACCAAACTGAGACAACAGTTAATAATGGTTCCTTAATGTCACCACTTCAAATAATTCTTCCTAGTGTCCAAACCAGCATTTCTAGGAAATATGGGAATGAGTTTTTGCAACTGTCATTACCCATCCAACTTGAGAAAACACACATTAGGGAAAAGCCTTATATATGTAATGAGTGTGGCAAAACCTTTAGAGTATCTTCAAGTCTTATTAACCATCAGATGATACATACTACAGAGAAACCTTACAAATGCAATGAATGTGGCAAAGCCTTTCATCAGGGCTCACTACTAACTATACATCAGATAGTCCATACAAGGCGGAAACCATATCAATGTGATATATGTGGCAAGATCTTCAGACAAAACTCAGATCTTGTAAATCATTGGAGAAGTCACACTGGAGAGAAACCATACAAATGTAATCAATGTGGCAAGTCCTTCAGCCAAAGTTACAACCTTACAATACATCAAAGAATTCACACTGGAGAGAAACCTTACAAATGTAATGAATGTGGGAAAACCTTCAAACAAGGCTCATGCCTAACTACACATCAGATAATCCATACAGGACAGAAACCATATCAGTGTGATATATGTGGCAAGGTCTTCAGGCAAAATTCAAATCTCGTAAATCACCAGAGAATCCACACTGGAGAGAAACCATACAAATGCAATGTATGTGGAAAGTCTTTTAGTCAAAGTTCCAACCTGGCAACTCATCAGACAGTTCACACTGGAAACAAACCCTATAAATGTAATGAGTGTGGCAAAACCTTTAAACGGAGCTCAAGCCTCACTACACATCAGATAATCCATACAGGAGAGAAACCATATACATGTGATATATGTGACAAGGTCTTCAGTCAACGTTCACAACTTGCAAGGCACCAGAGAAGTCATACTGGAGAGAAACCTTACAAATGCAATGAATGTGGGAAGGTCTTCAGTCAGCATTCACATCTTGCGGGGCATCGGAGAATTCATACTGGAGAGAAGCCTTACAAATGTGATAAATGTGGTAAAGCCTTTAAACAGGGCTCATTACTCACTAGACATAAGATAATTCATACCAAAGAGAAACGTTACCAATGCAATGAATGTGGAAAGGTCTTTAGTGAAAATTCATGCCTTGTAAGGCATTTAAGAATTCACACTGGGGAGCAACCTTACAAATGTAATGTGTGCGGCAAGGTCTTCAATTACAGTGGAAACCTTTCAATTCATAAGAGAATACATACAGGAGAGAAACCTTTCCAATGTAATGAATGTGGCACAGTCTTCAGGAATTACTCATGCCTAGCACGTCATCTAAGAATTCACACTGGGCAGAAACCTTACAAATGTAATGTGTGTGGCAAGGTCTTCAATGACAGTGGAAACCTTTCAAATCATAAGAGAATTCATACCGGAGAGAAGCCCTTTCAATGCAATGAATGTGGCAAGGTATTCAGTTATTATTCATGCCTAGCACGTCATCGGAAAATTCATACTGGAGAGAAACCTTACAAATGTAACGATTGTGGCAAAGCGTATACTCAGCGTTCAAGCCTCACTAAACATCTAATAATTCATACTGGAGAGATATCTTACAATTGTAATGAGTTTGGTGGGGCATTTATCCAAAGTTCAAAACTTGCAAGATATCACAGAAATCCTACTGGGGAGAAACCACACAAATGTAGCCACTGTGGTAGAACTTTTAGTCATATAACAGGCCTGACATACCATCAGAGAAGACATACCGGAGAGATGCCATACAAATGTGCTGAATGTGGCCAGGTCTTTAATTCCACTTCGAACCTTGCAAGACATCGGAGAATTCATACGGGGGAGAAACCTTACAAATGTAGTGAATGTGGCAAAGTCTTTCGTCATCAGTCAACACTAGTGCGTCATCGGAGTATTCATACCGGAGAGAAACCTTACACATGTACAGAGTGTGGCAAAGCCTTTAGAGTGCGCTCAATTCTGGTTAACCATCAGAAAATGCATACTGGAGAGAAACCTTATAAATGTAATGAATGTGGTAAAGCTTTTATTGAAAGGTCCAAGCTGGTGTACCATCAAAGAAATCACACTGGAGAGAAGCCATACAAATGTATTGAATGTGGCAAGGCCTTTGGGCGGTTTTCTTGCCTCAGCAAACACCAAATAATTCATTCTGGAGAAAAACCTTATAAATGTAATGAATGCGGCAAATCTTTTATTAGTCGCTCAGGCCTTACTAAGCATCAGACAAAACATATTGGAGAGAACCTTACAACTAAACTGAACGTGGCAAGGCCTTTAGATGCTCTCCTAACTTCTGGGTTCAAATAATTCATACTTCCTGATATAGCTTATATAATTTTCACTTCTTTCTGAAATCTTGTGGAATTTCAATACCCCGAATTGGAGGTGGGACCTGGTGGGAGATGACTGGATAACGGGTGGATTTCTCAAGAATGGTTTAGCATCACTTGGTGCTCTTCTCAGGACAGTGAGTTCTGGTGAGATATTGTTGTTTAAAAGTGTATGGCAGGCCAGGCACAGTGGATCATCCCTGTAATCTCAGCATTTAGCAGGGGTCGAAGTGCACAGATCACTTGTGGCCAGGTGTTCAAGACCAGGCTGGTGAACATGGTGAAACCTTGTCTCTACTAAAACACAAAAATTAGCTGGGCATGGTGATGCATGCCTGTAATCCTAGCTACTCAAGAGGCTGAGGCATGAGAATCACTTGAACCCAGGAGACAGAGGTTGCAGTGAGCCAAGATGGTGCCACTGCACTCCAGCCGGGGTGACAGCAAGACGCTGTCTCAAAAAAAAAAGTGTAGGAACCTTCCTCTTGTTTGCTTCTCTTCTTGCCATGTGACATGTCCACTCCCCCTTAGCCGTCCACCATGATTTTAACATTCTTTTTTTTTTTTTGAGACGGAGTTTCGCTCTTGTTACCCAGGCTAGAGTGCAATGGCGCCATCTCGGCTCACCGCAACCTCCGCCTCCTGGGTTCAGGCAATTCTCCCGCCTCAGCCTCCTGAGTAGCTGGGATTACAGGCACGTGCCACCATGCCCAACTAATGTTTTGCATTTTTAGTAGAGACGGGGTTTCACCACGTTGACCAGGAAGGTCTCGATCTCTTGACCTTGTGATCCACCCAGCTCGGCCTCCCAAAGTGCTGGGATTACAGGCTTGAGCCACCGCACCCGGCAATTTTAACATTCTTGAGGCTTCCCCAGAAGGTGAGCAGATGCCAGCACCATGTTTCCTATAAAGCCTGTAGAACTGTGAGTCCTTTAAACTTCTTTATAAGTTACCCAGCCTCAGGTATTTCTTTATAGCAATTCAAATATAGCCTAATATGTTTACATATGCAGTAAATGTAGCTAAGTTTTAAGCTGGTGTTCACTACTCACTTGGCATAAGAATATACATGTTGGAGAGAAATTACAGAAGTGTAATATGTATGGCAGGAATTCCATTCAAAGATCAAAACTTGTGGATCTAATTCAAAGTGCAGAGATGCTTTACAAATGAAGAGTGTGGTAAAACCTTTACCAGAGTTCAATCGCTATTGGACATGAGGCAGTTTATACTGAAAGGAAATCTACATGGACATGCCAGAGACTTTCTCCAGTCATTAGAACTTACTAGACGTCAGAATATACAACTTAGAGACGAGCCACACAAATGTAATGTGTGTGGTAAGGCTTTTATCCGAACATCGAAATGGAAACCTGAGAATTCATACAGAAGAGCTACCTTACAAATGTAACAAATGCAGTAAGACTTTTAACAAGTCATATGTTTGTTTTTGGAGTGTGACAGAATTTATAGAGGAGAAAAATCCTATAAATGTGCTGAACGTGCCCACCTCGGCCTCCCAAAGTGCTGGGATTACAGGTGTGAGCCACCACACCTGGCCAAAATTGTTTGCATTTTTAGTAAAGGCGGGATTTCACAATGTTGGCCAGGCTGGTCTTGAACTCCTGACCTCCGGTGATCTGCCCACCTTGAACTCCCAAAGTGCTGGGATTACAGGCATGAGCCACCCCACCTGGCCAGCATCTGTCATTTCTCTGTAACTTTTTTGCCACACAAATCTGAGAATGCCACCGTGACATATGCATCCTTCAGGTTCTTCAATGGAAGAAATCTAAGTCCATAAATTGGGTTAAATGGTTTCTAGTTGAGTATACAATGATAAAAAATTATTTTTAAAATGTAGTTTTGGCTGGGCTCTGTGGCTCATGCCTGTATTCCTAGCACTTTGGGAGGTTGAGGTAGACAGATTGCCTGAGCCCAGAAGTTTGAGAACAACCTAGACAACATGATGAAACCTAATCTCTACTAAAAATACAAAAACTGAAGTGAGAGGATCACTTGAGCCTGGGGAGGTGGAGGCTACAGTGAGCTGTGATAGCGCCAGCACACTGCAGCCTGGGCAATAGAGCGAGACCCCATCTCAAACAAAAAGTATGCTCCAGTTGAGAAATCATGGAATACAATGTTTATTATGATAACTTCAAATATGCTTTGTTACAGCCTTTGAAAAATGCATCTTTTATTAAATTATTTAATATTTGTTGACTGATATATATTTTATGGTACAGTTGTAAAAATATAGACAATTTGTCGTAACAGTATTTCAGAAGCATTTTCAACAATTATGTTGTGTAAAGTGTCCTATGTATGCATGAAGAAAGGACATGTATAAAGTTTTTAACATGAAGAAGAATTGAGTCTCAACCTGGGTGTCATGAGTTTCAAGAGTAAACATTTCAGTGTTGAATTAAAGAGTCTGAATTCATTTTTCCTTTTCTCTTGAGACAGTGTCTGGTTCCATCACCCAAGCAGTAGTACAGTAACACCATGTTGGCTCACTGAAACCTCCACCTCCCAGGCTCAAGCGATTTCACACCTCAGGCCTTCCAACTAGCTTGCACCACAAGTGTACACCATTACCCATGGCCAATTTTTGTGTTTTTTTTGTAGAGATGGGTTTTGTCAAGGTTGCTCTGGAACTCCTGGGTTCAAGCAATCTGCCCACCTCAGCGTCTTTCAAAGTGCTGGGATTACAGGCATAAGTCCCTGTACCCTGCCTTATTCCTTTCCTTGCTTAGTAAACTTGCTTTCACTTTACAACGTGAACTCGCCCATAATTCTTTCTTGTACAAGATCCAAGAACCCTCCCTTTTGGTTGTAGCTACGTAACAGGTTCTCCATACCCACTGCCTAGACAGAACCAGTTCATCAAGATAAAAGAGTTGTTTTTTTTTGAGACGGAGTTTCGCTCTTGTTACCCAGGCTGGAGTGCAATGGCGCGATCTCGGCTCACTGCAACCTCCGCCTCCTGGGTTCAGGCAATTCTCCTGCCTCAGCCTCCTGAGTAGCTGGGATTACAGGCACGCGCCACCACGCCCAGCTAATTTTTTGTATTTTTAGTAGAGACGGGGTTTCACCATGTTGACCAGGATGGTCTCGATCTCTTGACCTCGTGATCCACCCGCCTCGGCCTCCCAAAGTGCTGGGATTAGAGTCTTGAGCCACCACGCCCGGCCCAAGATAAAAGAGTTTAATTCACGTGGAGCTGGCTGTACAGGAACCTGAAATTTTATTATTATGCAAATTAGTCTCCCCCAAAACCCTGGGATCAGGGTTTTTGAGGATAATTTGATGGGTAAGGGTCAGTTGGGAATGCTGATTGGTTGGGTAGAAAATGAAATCACAGAGAGTTGAAGCTGTCCTTTTGCAATGAGTCAGTTCCTGGGCAGGGTCATGTAGGGTCCAGCCTTATAGGTCCTTGTGAGCCCTCTCTACTGGAGTGGAGATGAAAAATTGTAGAAATAAAAGACACAAGAAACAGAGATAGAGCAAAGAAAGTTTGGGTCCAGGGGTCCACCGCTAACCAAAACGCGGAGTCCTGCAGTAGCCCCAAGTGTCCGCGGTCTCTTTTATTGAGTACAAAAGCTGGGGGCAGGGTAGGTAGGGCATGTCTTTGGTGATCCAAGGCTAGGGGCAGGGTAAAAGACGGTGTGGTAGTGATAGGGTCAAGTACATCACGTGTCATGTAAGTAGGGGCTCAGGAATTTTCCATAGCCGAGATGAGGTAAGGGGCATAATGCATCAGCCTATTTTCCATACTTGTCACAAAGACGTTAGGATTTACATTACTTTTTTTTTTTTTTTGAGACGGAGTTTTGCTCGTTACCCAGGCTGGAGTGCAATGGCGCCATCTCGGCTCACCGCAACCTCCGCCTCCTGGGCTCAGGCAATTCTCTTGCCTCAGCCTCCTGAGTAGCTGGGATTACAGGCACGCACCACCATGCCCAGCTAATTTTTTTTGTATTTTTAGTAGAGATGGGGTTTCACCATGTTGACCAGGATTGTCTTGATCTCTTGACCTCGTGATCCACCCACCTCGGCCTCCCAAAGTGTTGGGATTACAGGCATGAGCCACTGCAACCGGCCCGATTTACATTACTTTTACTGATTAATTCTTTTTTTTTTTTTGAGACGGAGTTTCGCTCTTGTTACCCAGGCTGGAGTGCAATGGCACGATCTCGGCTCACCACAACCTCCGCCTCCTGGGCTCAGGCAATTCTCCCGCCTCAGCCTCCTGAGTAGCTGGGATTACAGGCACGCGCCACCATGCCCAGCTAATTTTTTTGTGTTTTTAGTAGAGACGGGGTTTCACCGTGTTGACCAGGATGGTCTCGATGTCTCGACCTCGTGATCCACCCGCCTCGGCCTCCCAAAGTGCTGGGATTACAGGCTTGAGCCACCGCGCCCGGCCCTGATTAATTCTTTTTTTTTTTTTTCTTCTTGTAAGAATACCACTGTATTTATTTTCTAACAGGTAATTTTTCTACGGCTTCAACATTTTCTTTACAATATAAAAAGAAAAAATCCCAAAGTTTAGAACTGGATCACTTGGCCCTTTCTCTTCTTATCTCCTCCCAGTTCAAAATGCTTGCATCTCTTAATGGCCAGCATCCTCTTGGATCTGCAGTTAGGCTCAACACATTCCAGCCGGAGCGCAATCTTCTCTGTGGTCTTAGCCTTCTTCCGGAAAATTGGCTTTGTCTGCCCACCATGGCCTCTCTGCTTCCGATCATAGCGCCTCTTTCCCTGGGCATACAAGGAATCCTTGCCCTTCTTATACTGTGTCACTTTGTGAGGCTGATGCTTGCCACACTTCTTACAGAAGGTTCTTCGGGTTTTAGGTACGTTGACCATCTTTGCAGAAGGGCTGGTCTGTCTATATGATGAAAACCAGAAACGGCGTCCGAGACACTCGCCTCGCGCAGCTCTCGCCTCACAACAGCGATTAATTCTTAAAAGATAAAAGGAACCAGGTGCAGAAGCGGATCATGAGACTGACATGGAATGTGACCACTGAAGCACAGCATCACCTCGAGACAATGAAGCCCCCGGATGTCTGCAGGCCTGACGACTGCCAGGCCTACCGCAAGAACTTGGAGAAGCAGAGTTTTCTCTTAACTCCTCCGAGGAAGGAGACGTCTCAGCTATTTTGGACATCTCCTTCCCTAGCTGGCTAAATAGCGGGTGCTTTCCCAGTGCTAGTGGGGCCCGCTCAGCCAAGATGCCCTCCAGTAACCCTTATGCGGGCTTGACAGAGGGTCTAAAGCATGTTGCCTTAGGGTCATTCATTTCATAGTGTTGCCCCCGGGTCACACTTTCGACCTGAGAGGCATTAGTGAAAGAATTAAGACCACCTATGAATAACTAAGATCACCTATGTATGAATAACTAATAACTACAGCATCTTATTTCTAGTTACTTTCTTCTTCATTATTTATATGGAAATAGGCTGAGGCTTTGGCCTCCTGCCTCTGCACTTATGGGGCTCCCCCTCTACAAGGTCACAAGACCAGATGAGCCAGTTTATGGATCTAGGTTGGTGTCAGGTGATCCATCAAGTGTAGGGTCTGCAAAATATCTCAAGCACGGATCTTCTGTTTTATAACGGTAATGTTATCCCCAGGAACAATTTGCAAACAGTGATAATCTTGTAGCCTCCAGCTACCTGATTCCTAAACCATAATCTCTCATTTTGTGCTTAATTTGTTAGTCTTACAAAGACAATCTAGTCCCTAAGCAGGAAGGGGGTTTGTTTTGGGAAAGGGTTATTAATGTCTTTGTTTCAAACTATAAACTAAGTTCCTCCCAAAGTTAGTTCAGCTTATGCCCAGGAATGAACAAGGCAGCTTGGAGTTTAAAAGCAAGATGGAGTTGATTAGGTCAGATCTCTCTCACTGTAATAACATTCTAAGTTCTAATTGTGCAATGGCAGTCTCAGATTCTGGATCAGGATTCCTTTCTGGTAATGTGAGGACAGTTATGAGTGCATCCAGACATCCAAAAAGTTACCTCTGAGCGTCAGGGATTTCCTATCCCTATGGGTTCTTCCCTTGCATGTCAACCCAAGGATTCACTGGGGACCCTAGAATTACAGAGGCCAGTCTAGAAATATAAAGACAGGAGAGAGAAGAAGAGGTGAAGTAGTTTTGAAGAAGAGAAAGAGGGTCCATGCTACCTCAGTTTTTTTCCCAACAAACCTTTCATGCTGAGAAATAGGATCCTGGTTTGTGGGAGGGATTTTATAGGAGGGTGAGGAAAATGCCCTTTTAGGGTAGAGTCTGTAGAGCCCTAATTGGGGAAAAGGAGTCAGCCTGAAAGGAACAGGGGAAAGCAAAGAGATCAAGCAAATAAGCTATAAATCATTCTTCATGGTCCAGGACAGATAAACAAAATGGAGGAAGCAGATAAGCTGTAGATCATCTCTCTCTCTCTCTTTTTGAGGCAGAGTCTTGCTCTGTCGCCAGTCTGGGGTGCAGTAATGCAATCTCAGTGCACTGCAACGTCCGCCTCCCAGGTTCAAGCAATTCTCCTGCCTCACCCTCCTGAGTAGCTGGGACTACAGGCGTGCGCCGCCTCGCCCAGATAATTCTTGTATTTTTAGTAGAGACTGGTTTCACCATGCTGGCCAGGATGGTCTCCATCTCTTGACCTCGTGATCCGCCCACCTAGCCTCCCAAAGTGTTGGGGTTTATAGTCATGAGCCGACGGGCCTGGGGATCTCTTTTTCTTTATGGCATAGGGCATATAGCCTTTCTGTGGAAATAACGTAAATAACTCACAAACTTTCTCCTTTCATTTATCATCAAACACCTCAGCTAACAGAAGAATGCAAGTTATCTCCCGGTTACCTTGGCCTCCCAAAGTGTGAGGATTAGAGGCATGAGCCACTGCACCCAGCCAAATCTCCTTTTCTCATGAGGAAGTCAGTCAGTGGGTTCAGAGCTTATTTTAACCGGATCATCTCTTTAAATGCCCTATATTTAAATACAGTCACATTCTGAGGCAGTGGGTGTTGGCACTGCAGGATATGGTTTTTTTTTGGAAACATGATTCTGCTCATTACACTCTGTGCTCTGGACTCCCAACATTTATATCCTTCTTACATGCCAAGTCCCTTCACTCCATCCCACATGATTAACTCAGTAGATGCAGAGAAGGCCTTTGACGAAATTCAACAGCCCTTTATGGTGAAAACTCTTAATAAACTAAGTATCAATGGAACATATCTCAAAACAATAAAAGCTATTTATGACAAACCCACAGCCAATATCATACTGAATGGGCAAAAACTGTAAGGATTCCCTTTGAAAAGTGGCAACAGACATGGGTGCCCTCTCTCATCATTCCTTTCAACGAGGTATTGGAAGTTCAAGCAAGAGCAATCAGGCAAGAAAAAGAAGTAACGGGTATTCGATTAGGAAAAAGGGAAGTCAGATTGTCTCTATTTGAAGATTTCATGATTGTATTTTTAGAAGACCCCATTATCTCAGCCCAAAATCTCCTTAAGCTGATAAGCAACTTCAGTAAAGTCTCAGGATACGAAATCAATGTGCAAAAATTACAGGCATTCCTACACACCAATAACAGACAATCAGAGAGCCAAATCATAAGCCAACTCCAATTCACAATTGCAACAAAGAGAATAAAATACCTGGAAATACCACTAACAAAGTATATAAAGGACCTCTTCAAGGAGAACTACAAACCGCTGCTCAAGGAAATAAGAGAGGACACAAACAGAAGGAAAAGCATTCCATGCTCATGCTTAGGAAGAATCAATATTGTGAAAATGGCCATAGTGCCCAAAATAATTTTTAGATTCAATGCTATCTCCATTAAACTTCCATTAACCCTCTTCAAAGAACTGGAAAAAACCACCTTAAACTTCATATGGAACCAAAAAAGAGGCCGCATAGCCAAGACAATCCTAAGCAAAAAGGAGCAAAGCTGGAGGCATCACACTACCTGACTTCAAACTATATTACATGGTGACTGTAATCAAAACAGCATGCTACTGGTACCAAAACAGAGACCAATGGAATAGACCAGATGCCCCAGACAGAATACCACACAACTACAACCATCTGATCTTTGACAAACCAGACAAAAAGAAGCAATCAGGAAAGGATTCCCTGTTTAATACATGGCATTGGGGAACTGGCCAGCCATGTGCAGAAAGCTGAAACTGGACTCCTTCCTTACACCTTACACAAAAATTAACTGCAGATGGATTAAAGATTTAAACGTAAGACCTAACAGCATAAAAACCCTGAAAGAAAACCTAGGTAGTACGATTCAGGACAAAAGTATGGGCAAGCAGTTCATGACTGAAACACCAAAAACAATGAGAGCAAAAGCCAAAATAGACAAATGGCATCTAATTAAACAAAAGAGTTTCTGCACAGCAAAAGAAACAATCATTAGAGTGAATCAGCAATCAACAGAATGGGAAAAATTTTTTGCAAGCTACCCATCTGACAAAGGGCTAATATCCAGAAGCTACAAAGAACTAAAACAAATATACAAAAGAAAAACAAACAACCCCATCAGAAAGTGGGTAAAAGATATATGTACAGATACTTTTCAAAAGAAGACATTTATGAGGCAAAAAAATATGAAAAAATGCCCATCATCACTGGTCATTAGAGAAATGCAAATCAAACCACATTGAGATACCGTCTTACACCAGTTAGAATGGCGATCATTAAAAAATCTGGAGACAAAAGATGCTGGACAGCATGTGGAGAAACAGGAACGCTTTTACATTGTTGGTTCAAGTGTAAATTAGGTCAACCATTGTGGAAGACAATGTCGCTATTCATCAAGGATCCAGAACTAGAAACACCATCTGACCCAGCAAGCCCATTACTGGATATTTACCCAAAGGATTATAAATCAATGTATTATAAAGACATTAAGTTAACTGTGGCACTGTTTACAATAGCAAAGACTTGTAACCAACCCAAATGCCCATCAAAGATAGACTGGATAAAGAAAATGTGGCACATACATACCATGGAATACTATGCAGCCATAAAAAAGGATGAGTTCATGTCGTTTGCAGGGACATGGATGAATCTGGAAACCGTGATTTTCAGCAAACTGACACAAGACCGGAAAACCGAACACCGCATGTTCTCACTCATAAGTGGGTGTTGAACAATGAGAACACATGGACACAGGGAAGGGAACATCACACACTGCAGTCTGTTGAGGGGTGGATGGGTGGCTGGGAAGGGATAGCAGGAGGTGGGGAGATTGAGGAGAGATAACATTAGGAGAAATACTTAATGTAGGTGACGGGGAATGGAGGCAGCAAACCAGCATGGCATGTGTATACCTATGTAACAATCCTGCAACATCAGCACATGTACCCCAGAACTTAAAGTAAAATAAAATAAAATAAAATATAAATACAAAAGTTAGTGATCTCAACATATTTTCTACTTATCATATGTTATCTGTAGAACATATGTTCTTGTTTATTACCAAGGGAGAATTGCTAAGAATTTCATACAATAAAGTTTCTATATTTACATATAATGCAAATTTGTGTATGCAATACGGAAATTTGTAGCACAGAATTCTAAATATATAGTATACTGTATTTTACTTACCTGCTGGTTTTTTTTTTGTTTTTTTTTTTTTTGAGACGGAGTTTTGCTTTTGTTACCCAGGCTGGGGTGCAATGGCACGATCTCGGCTCACCGCAACCTCCGCCTCCTGGGTTCAGGCAATTCTCCTGCCTCAGCCTCCTGAGTAGCTGGGATAACAGGCATGCGCCACCATGCCCAGCCAATTTTTTGTATTTTTAGTAGAGACGGGGTTTCACCATGTTGACCAGGATGGTCTCGATCTCTTGACCTCATGATTCACCCGCCTCGGCCTCCCAAAGTGCTGGGATTACAGGCTTGAGCCACCACGCCCGGCTACCTGCTGGTTTTATCATGGGTTATTAGAGT